CTTTCTAAGTTGTAGTTTTACACAGACTCATCATGAGGTAACCCTACACAGGTTCCTTCTCTTTCTAAGATGCAGTTTTTCCTGGACTCATCATGAGGCAACCCTACACAGGTTTCTTCTCTTTCGAAGATTCAGTTTTACACGGACTCATCATGAGGCAACTCTACACAGGTTCCTTTTCTTTCCAAGATGCAGTTTTACACGGACTCATCATGAAGCAACCCTATACCGGTTCCTTCTCTTTCTAAGATGAAGTTTTACACTGACTCATCATGAAGCAACCCTACACCGGTTCCTTCTCTTTCTAAGATGCAGTTTTAAACGGACTCATCATGAAACAACCCTACATCGATTCCTTCTGTTTTCAAGATGCAGTTTTACACTGACTCATCATGAAGTAACCCTACACCGGTTCCTTCTCTTTCCAAGACGAAGTTTTACACTGACTCATCATGAAGCAACCCTACACCGGTTCCTTCTCTTTCCAAGATGTAGTTTTACACGGACTCATCATGAGGCAACTCTACACAGGTTCCTTCTATTTCCAAGTTGCAGTTTTTCACTGATTCATCATGAGGCAACCCTACACAGGTTCCTTCTCTTTCCAAGATGCAGTTTTACACTGTTTCATCATGAGGCAACCCTACACAGGTTCCATCTCTTTCCAAGATGCATTTTTACACAGACTCAACATGAGGCAACCCTACACCGGTTCCTTCTCTTTCCAAGATGCAATTTTACACTGACTCATCATGAAGCAACCCTAAACCAGTTCCTTCTCTTTCCAAGATCAAGTTTTACACTGACTCATCATGAAGCAATCCTACACCGGTTCTTTCTCTTTCCAAGATGAAGTTTTACACAGACTCATTATGAAGAAACCCTACACAGGTTCCTTCTCTTTCCAAGATGCAGTTTTACACGGACTCATCATGAAACAACCCTACACAGGTTCCTTCTCTTTCCAAGATGAAGTTTTACACTGAATCATCATGAAGCAACCCTACACTGGTTCCTTCCCTTTCCAGGATGCAGTTTTACATAGACTCATCATGAGGTAACCGTACACAGGTTCCTTCTCTTTCCAAGATGCAGTTTTACACGGATTCATAATGAGGCAACCCTACACAGGTTCCTTCTTTTTCCAAGATACAGTTTTACATGGACTCATCATGAGGCAACCCTACACAGATTCCTTCTCTTTCCAAGATGTAATTTTAAACGGATTCATCATGAAGCAACCCTACACCAATTCCTTCTATTTCCAAGATGCAGTTTTACACTGACTTATCATGAAGCAACCCTACACCGGTTCCTTCTCTTTCCAAGATGAAGATATACACTGACTCATCTTGAAGCATTTCTACACCGGTTCCTTCTCTTTCGAAGACGAAGTTTTACACGGACTCATCATGAAGCAACCCTACACCGGTTCCTTCTCTTTCCAAGATGCAGTTTTACACGAACTTATCATGAGGCAACCCTACAAAGGTTCCTTCTCTTTCCCAGATGTAGTTTTACACTGTTTCATCATGAGGCAACCCTACACAGATTCCTTCTCTTTCCAAGATGCAATTTTACATAGACTTATCATAAAGCAACCATACACCGGTTCCTTCTCTTTCCAAGATGCAATTTTACACGGACTTATCATGAAGCAACCCTACACCGGTTCCTTCTCTTTCCAAGATAAAGTTTTACACTGACTCATCATGAAGCAATCCTACACCGGTTCTTTCTCTTTCCAAGATGAAGTTTTACACTTACTCATCATGAAGCAACCTTACACAGGTTCCTTCTCTTTCCAAGATGTAGTTTTACACGGACTCATCATGAAACAACCCTACACATGTTCCTTCTCTTTCCAAGATAAAGTTTTACACGAACTCATCAATAAACAACACTACATTGGTTCCTTCTATTTCCAAGATACATTTTTACACGGATTCATAATTAGGCAACCCTACACAGGTTCATTCTCTTTCCAAGATACAATTTTACACTGACTCATCATGAGGCAACCCTACACAGGTTCCTTCTCTTTCCAAGATGTAGTTTTACACGGACTCATCATGAAGCAACCCTACACCAGTTACTTATATTTCCAAGATGCAGTTTTACACAGACTCATCATTAGGCAACCCTACACATGTTCCATCTTTTTCCAAGATGCAGTTTTACACGAACTCATCATGAAGCAACTCTACACCGGTTCCTTCTCTTTTCAAGATGAAGTTTTAGACGGACTCATCATGAAGCAACCCCACACCGGTACCTTCTCTTTCAAAGATGAAGTTTTACACAGACTCATCATGAAGCAACCCTACACCGGTTCGTTCTCTTTCTAAGATGTAGTTTTACACAGACTCATCATGAGGCAACCCTACACAGTTTTCTTCTCTATCGAAGATTCAGTTTTACACGGACTCATCATGAGGCAACCCTACACTCAAATCCTTGCACATTCTAATTTGTCTCATAAGCCTATATTTGTACCGATACATACCAGTCGATTGACCAACATGAGAGAAAGTATATTAAAGGTCATCCGCCAGTTTAAGAAACATTTTAGTTTATTATCATTGGCTCCTCGTAAGAAGTTAATAAATACTAGAGTATAGAAATAATGGTAAAGGATATAGGATAAAAAAATATATTTAGAAAAATAGATAAGAAATAAAGATGATTTAATATATGGATTGATTGTTTTAAAACAAAGAAAAAAGATATAAATAAGAAAGAAGTGTTTATTTTTTTATGAAAATATCAAAATGTCTCTAGTTAAAAAATTCAAAAATTATTTTATTAAATAAGTTAATTTAACCGTTGGATAAATTAATAAAATTAATGATTTTAAATCAATGGAAATTAATATTATTATTATTATTAAACCAATTAATAATAAAGAATGATATTTCTAGAGTAAAGCATACTTCTATTTGAATAAAGTATGATATTTCTTTTTTGAATAAAAATATTTATAAATTATTTGTATTAAAATTATTTCCCATCACCATTTCGTCCCAACGTTGGGACAATGAGTTAAAAATAAAATTCGAACCAAGCTGAATAAGACATCAACATCCTGCACCAGAATTCCCATCACCATTTCGCTCCAACTTTGGGACAATGAGTTAAAATAAAATTCGAACCAAGCTGAATAAGACTGCAACATCGTGCACCAAAAAATGCTAAAAAAAACTATTCAAAACATGAGAAAATAAACTTTAAAGCAAGTTCTCACTTGATCTTTGGCTTTCTAAGCTTTGTTTTCTTTCTAACATGCAATTCTTGTTCCGGCGTATACAATGTACACATACGGGGTTTTGGTCTTAGTGCTCCTTCACAATCACCACGGGTATAATTCTTCACATTATTATTATGCTGTCAATTATAAAATAGAAATTCAAATAAAAATAATAAATATCACATATCTAAAAAGTACTATTAAATAAATCGAATTTACTTAAATAAATAAGGATCACTCACCTCACCCTCATCATGATTGTCAACCCCAGCATCTAGAACATCATTATTATTATTGCCAACCTCAACATCCATAACATCATTATTAGGAATGTCGTCTCCAACTTCCTTATCATTATTAGCATTGCCAACCTCAAGATTGCCAACCTCAGCATCCACATCATTATTAGGAATGCCATCTTCAACAGTCTCATCATAAATAAGATTGTCATCCATATCATGATTGTGATCAAAATCTTCATCCTGAACATTACCAACATTGTCATCACGATCATGATTAGGATTTTTATCCAAATTTTGGTTCGTCAAAGATAAAAAGTGCTATTAAACCTATAAAAAAAAGGGAATGAAATACCGTAGGCTGTAGAGACATCTGGGAGGATAAGACTTCCTGAGGCGTCTGGATGGATAAGGCTTCATGCGATAGAGAAGAGTCGAAGAAGGGGGCCTGAACCTGAAAAGAAGTAGAAACAATAACATATCATGTCAATTATAAAATAGGAATTCAAAGAAAAGTAATAAAAACCAAAAGTGCTATGCAACCTTACTTACTTCATCTCGAGGTGTAGACAAATTACACCTAGGAGGGGATTCGGTTTCACGTTCATCAACATCTCCCTCCTACATACAACGGTATTGAAAGCAAAAAAAATCAGAATCAAATTTCATTTGTGTTTCATGCCGGTTACGAACGTGAAAAAAGAAAAAATCAGACCTGCAAATAATTCATTAGCGGTCCAAACATGGAAAAATCCTTTTTGATAAGGTGCATATTCCTTTTCGCCCACCGCGTATTGCAATGCCTATAAAACGAAGTGAAATCCCTCCAATTTTTATCTTTTCCCGGGCCTCTTTCCTTTAGTGTCATTTTTATTCTAAAATCATCGCATTTTTTCAAATCTCCCAGCTCCAACCCCAACTGTTTACAACAAGTATGCACAGGATGTTTTGCAATATTTTTAAAGCAGATGGTATATACTTTCGCATATACCATCCAACTTTGATATTTGAATTGATCGGCCAATTCAGCTTCTAGAACATTCCTCCTATAAGGTAACAAATCCACCTTTGAAACATAAAATAAAGTATTAATAAACTAAAATACTGTTAGAATTTGAATTATCACTTTTGAGATGTAGGAAACTTACATCTTCATCCGCCATTTCACGAAGCTTATCAAAGCAAGTTTCCATGGTAGGCATTAAAGATCTATTCCTAAGAATCTCACTTGTTTCATTCGCCCACCCCAACATCAACGGAAATTGACTCAGTATAGAAAAATTAAATATCTCGCGAAGGCATTTGAATCGTTCAAATGCAAATACCTACAAGAAAAACAAAACAAAAAAATAAGAATTTTTGTGTTATATTAAAGGAAATATAGATGTATGCATATTGATAAATGTCTTACCATCAAGAGATATGCAAAACCGGTCAACGTTTTATTTCCCTGTCTTACTTTATTCATTGAAGCCTTGAGGGTAGCATGCACGGCTGCCCCCAAGCATAATTGTCTATATCAAGTACTTCAAGAAAAGGTAAATAAATAACTGAAACATCGATAAAAGTAGAAGTAGTAAAAAGAACATTTCCTAATAAAAATAAAATGTATGCTTTGACGTGTGAATTTACATTCTCCTCAGTAACATCAATGCTCTGAAATTTTTCTTTCAAACGTTTTAAACTTATATTATGAGACTTTTTTCCTCTCTTATTAGGAAATAGCAAATCATTAGCTTCAACTGGATGTAGGGACAAATGATTTACTATTGTCTCAATAGGATCTCCTGGTTCAAATCCTGAAATCTGCACAACAAAATTGTTACAAGTATATAAATAACTTAAGAAAGAGTAATTCCTATTAAGTGAAATAAATGAAATAAAATAAAATAAAAAATATACCTGTTTTCCATCAATGGGAAGTCCTGTGATGTACATTACATCTTCAAGATCAAGATCAACTTTAGTATCCCCAAACACAAAGTGTTCTTCATTGTAATCATAAAAGCGAAGTAAAGCGACGATCATTTGCTTAGGGATTTTAATTTCAGTCGTCGGGAATCTCGTAAAATATTTGAAACAAGTTTTTTCCACTTCCTCTTTTACTCTACAATGTAGAGTCCAACCAGTAAAGTTGTTTAACTGCATCGCAAAACTAGAGATTTCGACTGAAACCGTTTCGGGATCCATTTGGGTACCTGTACAAATTCATTTGATCACATACTAAGCTTATGAAGAAGACCAGAATAAATCAATCTCATATCAAATCCAAATGACCTTATTATCCTTAGTATAAGTACCTTAGGTACAACAGATTGTAACTAACTTTACATAATCATAAAATCAGTTACATCTATAGTTCTCTCTCTCTCTACTTCTCTATGAAACTCCTTTAGGGTTTCTATTACTACAACCAACTTCAGCAACTATACAGAACACAATCGAAGTTCAAGAATATAAATCTGAAAATAAAAATATGTTAAGATCTTGCATTGCAGAAACTGAAATTACACGTTTCTAGTGAGATTCAATTGGTTATAAATACCATGGTTCTCAAAACTGGACCGAACCGGCCGGTTCAACCAGTTAAACCGGACCTGATTCCGGTCAATTTCCTATTAATAACCGGCTGGCAATAAGACCGGACTTTGAACACTAAAAACCGGAGTAAAACCAGTAAGACCGGTCAAAACCGGCGGTTTTCCAAGTTAACCAATCATTTTTACTACTTGATTTTTTTAATTATTATTAAATTAAAAAAATCTGTTATTATTACATCTCAACCGCTAATAATGCGGGAGACAGTTGACAATTAAGAGCGTACGCAAAGGCTTCTTATATACTACTTGTCTATCAATCATCTAAGCATTTCTACCAATGTGGAACTTTGTTTACATTTGCAGCACAATACACTACCAACTTGCATTGAAACATAGGTGCTTTACTAAGGTAAGTGATATTATATTTATAGTTATGTAGTATGTTTTTTTTTTAGTTTTTGACGAAACATATTTTAATTTATATGTTTTATAGACTCAAATCAATTTATTTAATATTCATCTCATGTATGATTAAAAAAATTATCTCAACTTTTTTATAATTTCATATAGTTTAATGATTAAAAATCACATATTCATAAAATTATAAATATTATGTTATATTTATTAAAATGTTAAATATAATTTTGATCTTTATAAATATATTAGATTTTGTTTTTAGTCTTCTCAAAAATAAAATCGGCTCTATTTAATATATATGTTAAAATACGTATATATTCCCAAACCCTCTTTCTCTCCCAAACCCTCTTTCTCTTCCCATACATTCACTAAACACTAACCTAGAAATCCAACAACCCTTATACTAAAAAACTTCACCTCTAACTTTTGATGTACATATTACTCTCTTACACCAACCAAAAACCCTTATTTTCTCAACCTATAAAAACCCTATTTTTCTTTTAACCAGGGGGGCTATTTTTTCTCACTCACGTGAATACAATATCCCAACATACACCTTGTATATACCACCACTGTACATATCAACAACACTAACCAAACCTTTTTTTTCTCTTCAAATCAACACCCTGCAGAACATTTTCACTAGCCCCATAATTCATTCAAAACCCAACAAACCCTTTACGTTTTCTTCACCTGTACAAAACCACCTGCATTATTTCAAACATAATAACAGTCCACAAAACCAAAACCAATATCAAACTCCATACCAACACTAACAGAAATAACTACCTGCACCATAAACTCTCCTGGATCTTCTTCTCTTCACTCTCACTCTCTAATCATCACCATAAATAATCACCTCCCCATAAACCCTTCACTCTAAATCTATAAATCTAGAACCTTCATCTCTCTCCACTCTCTCCCTCAAAATAACACAATATACTACAGTTGCATCTATGACTTTACACCTAATTTGTATATACTCCAAATGAATTTCAACACTACGCATATTGATGAAAATGAAATCTAAACCAATGTGGCCATGTTTTCATTTGTAGTCACGGTTATGAAAACATGAAAGCAAGCATAAAAGAATAATTACAAATAGAATATAGCATCAACTCTTCAATGTTTCAGTACTAGTTATATATGCTTGATGTGGAAGCCACGTATGACAACCATGAGTTACAAAAATTACACCACTCCAATACAAACTATAACAAAAATAGGTAACCATGCATGTCTATATCATGTCGAACACTCACTATCTCAAGCCAGTTTAACAACCATTCTGAATTTCTAATAGTTCTTTTTCCCAACCTATTAACTACCAACTTGACCCCTGTTGCAACTGATTTCCTAACTGTCAGTTGCAACTAATTAACTAGCCTTTTCTTCCCAATTAACAAAAACAAAACTTGTACCAACCACTAAACATAATTTTCTCCATTCAAGTTCATTTAACGAAATGCCAACATACTGCTTAAACCTCAAAACATAAAGAGATTTTAAAGTGCTTTAAGCTATGTTCCAATAATACGGAATACCCTCACCAGCTCTCGCGTTATATCAGAGGTTGCCGGGGAATAATAAGATTTCGGCGATGTTAAGACCAGTGTTCTTCTTGTTCTTTGCTGCTCCTACCATGGCTAGTTTGGCACTAAATCACCCAACCCATCATGAAATTAACAATTCAATAGCCTAATCTCTCTTCAAACAAGCATGGATATCAAATCAGAAATTCCTGAATAGATGGGACCTGAGAAAAATCTGAATTGTAAAAATGAAAAACAGAATCCAGTAACAACAAACCTTTGATTCTCTCAATGCGTCTTTTGATTTCTTGTGAACTTTCAGAATCACTGTGATTATTTGAGGTTGCATCACAATTAAATTCAAATATTATAAACTAATTCATCACAGATTCAGAGAAATTTAAGTTTTGTAAAGTCTTAGAATGTCACTGCATCCATATCTTCATCAACGTGACTATAATATTCATGAAAGAGCTTAAATAAATTTCAATATAGTTAGTAGTTAAAAATTGAAATAATTTGTTCATATTGAAACAACAACGCGATCCCGTAGAAACCCTAAATCCCCATTTTCCACTATTTTCAACAATTTACAACATACAACAAGTGATATCAAGGGGAAGAGGGGTTTAAAGCAAACAACAACGAATTTGAAGAAAGATTACAACATACGCTTCAGAATATGATACGGAGGATGATTTTGTTGGATTTGAATTAGCGCTTCGTTCGTTAGACTGAGAGAACAGAGAAATAGAAAGTATTGAATCTGGTATCCAATAAGCTAAACCGGTTCAGAATATGGTTACTGGATTTTTTTTTGTTTCATTTAGGCCTAGTTAATTTTGTTTTCTTCATTTAGACTTTAGGTATTTTTTTGGTTTAGATTAATTTAGAAAAGAAGTAGGCTTTAATTAAGCGTATGTTTTTTTTTTAAATTAGGTTTAGGATTCACTTTTTAGCACCTTTAGCTTAGATTATTTAATTAATTAATTAGGATTTCAATTAGTATATACATTAGTAGTTAGGTTACAATTAGATTTAATTAGTTTGAGTAAACTTAAAATTTTAATTTATTTTAATTAAGCTAGCATGATAATTAGTAATTAGTTTAAAACATTATGTAAATATTTGTAATTTAGACTAGTTAATTAGTTTAGGATTATTTAGTTTTATGTTTTTAATTTACTAATTAGTATAATTAGAGTTATTTAATTTTTAATTTGCTTTGTTATTTCTTAGTTTAACAATTTACTTTGTTTTTGCTATTACTGGTTGAACCCGGGTTCGACCTCGGTCTGACCCTTAAACCTTAAACCCTTAACTCCGCCGGTTTATTGTCCGATCCAATTTTAATTACCTTGATAAATACTCAGGAAAATATACATATCAGTTCAGCAGTACATATATGCATCATTGTTCTTACCTCATGCCTTTCTTCAACACAATTTCCTAGTTTAAACATTGTAGTCCTAGTTCTACCTCAAATGTTCACATTCATAACATGGTTCAGTTCATGTGCAAGCATAGTACAAGAAACAACATCAAGCCATGCTATAAGAACCTAAACATGTCATCATCAACTCATACATGCCATAGTCATTATCAATCAAAATAGTCATGAAAACAATTCAAAACCATGGATGTTCCATTCAAAGGGAAAATATTATAGGTTATAGGATCAAGCAATTCATCATAAGGGCATCATAAAACCAAAGAAGAAACATACATACATTGCATCCAGTTCAGAATTGTGTGCATCTAAATGCATGTTGATCCATGTGCAAATATTCAAAGACACCCGTCATCATAAAATCCACAACAATGCAAGACAAAAAGATCTATACCACCAATAGAGACATATTGAGAAAAGAGCCAAAAAACTTAAACCGCAAGCCAAGAGTCTAATATTAATTCCACCAATTTTTGCATCATGAGTAGGGGCACGAGGTAAATATTAAAAATTGTCTCAGTAACTTTATTTCACAGTGGTGATGACACAGCTAGGGGACCATATCAAAATTTGCTTCTAGAAGAGAAAATTCCCAATTCCCTTTCTACCCTAAATTGTACTCATTTTCACAACGATCTGACCACACTCAATTTAGAGGTAGAATTCACATGTTCAGGGCCAACATTTATATCAAAGTTGTGACCTTTCTTCATCAAACAGTAGAAGAAGAAATGGTGTTTCAATTGAACTCTGACAGAACAAACAAATTATCCCTATGTTTCTAAACTTCCGATTCAAACAGAACAAGTAAGTGAGAAAAACTTAAAATAAAGTATACCTACTCAGGGTTACGAGGGAGAATCGATGGTTGACGATGGTGAATCGATGATGTTTCCTCTGAGCTTCTTCTTGTCCGACTCAGGGTTACCGGAGATGACGGCGAAAATGAAGAAGAATTGTGAAAAGCGGTTGTGGAAGGGAAAGTGGTGAGTTGTGGAAGAATTGTTTTTTTTTTTTGGTGAGTGGCCAAAAAATTAAGCCCAAAATGAAAATGAAAAGTATCCTCCTTTGATTCTTTTTTAATTATTAATTATATATTTTAAAACAATAGTATATTTCTTTAATATAGAACATGTTTTCGTTTTTATATTTTACTAAGTACATTTAAAATATTATCTATCAATCTTTAAATTAGATTAAAAAATATTATTTTGATTCGTGTGGAAACAATAATAAATTTTAATATTT